GTTAGCTCTTGTTAGTAAATCAGACCCCACATCATGAGGCAAATCTCATGATGGTGCCTCCTCTCTCTCTCTCTCTTCATCCTGCTTCAATGTCATTCAGCCCAGAACTGAGCACTTGGGAGCTTTTCAAGGTCAGGAAGAAGAGGTTGGGGAAGTTGTCTCCAAAATGTTAAGGAGATCATTGGTCTGGCTCTACATCCACAGGGTGGCTATCAAGGCTCCGAGGCAGACGAATCCCTCACAGCTCTTGTTCTGATCTCTCTGAACGAGGGGAAGGAGTTATGCAGCCAGGAGATACCGGTAAAACCCAAAGAGGAGGGCAGGATCTGCGGGGTGCATTATCCCTGCACCCAGGGATCTCCCCCACCCTTGTGTCCCTCTCAGTGTAGCCCTCTCTTCTAACCCCCAGACCCCTTTGCTCTGATCATTTCCCTCTAACCGCCTCTCTCTGACTCTCCAGAGTTTGATTGACAGCATGGAGAATGCCCGTGGCTTCCTGGAGAGACGCCTCTCTGACATTCAGACAACATTTGCCGTAGCCATAGTCTCCTATGCTCTGGCCCTCACCAAGAGCCCTCGGGCCAATGACCGCCTGGACAGCTTTGCCAGCCACAGTGAGTGTGGGGCCACTACTTAAGCAACTCTGTGTTAACCACAGTCATGGGGGCGAGGGGAGGGAGGTTGCGCGATCTCAAATCCAGTAATACATGACTCATCACTCGGCATTTACTGAGCACTTACGGTGTGCCAATCCTGAGCTCAGACCCTGAGAAACCAAGGTGAACAAGACTGATATGGTCCCTGCCCTCAAAGCTTCCACCGTCCCTGGGGGAGGCAGGCAGAAGACAAACAAATCAATAGAGAATTACAAATTGAGATAAGTGCTGAGATGAAACATATAAAGTCAGTGATAGAGATGACAAGGGGAGAGGAGTATGGATCAAAGGGCCAGGATAGCCTCTGTGAAAAGGGGACCCCTCAGTTGAAATGAAAGATGAGAAGGCCCACCTCTGTGAAAGGCCAAAGACATTCCAAGCCAAGAGAGTGGTGTGTGCAAATGCCTTGAAGTGGGAAAGTGCTCGGTGTGGTCAAGGATGGGAATAAGGTCATTAAACGTGGGTAACTGAGAGGCATCTGCCTCTCATGGCCCGCCCTGTCTCATCTCCAAGAGGCCTCATCCCATCCTCTCCATTCCCCAAGTAAAGAGAAGTGGAGTCAGGAGAACTAGCTTTCAGTGAGACTAGAGGGACCTGAAGGAGCTTCTTTGAGACTTAGCTTTCCCATTCGAAATAGTCTGTCTCTTAGAGTGGTTCTGAAAATACAATATCCATCTGCACGCTCAAAGAGTTTCACATAAGTGCTCAATAAAGTAGCAGATGAGAAAAATTGGGTCAGATGACACAAGGAGAGGGCAGGTTTAGGTCTGAGTGACAAGGTGGGCATGCATCTTCTAGACAAAAACCACTGGCCAGTAAACACCAAAGACAAGCACTCGCTGTACACCATTGAGGCCACGGCCTACGCGCTGATGCAGAAGCTGGAGCTGGGTCGATATAATGAGACACACGCCATCGCCAAGTGGCTACTGCAGAAGCGAGAGCTGGGAGGAGGCTTCAAGTCCACCCAGGTGACCCGGGCCTTGGAAAATGGAGCCTGTTTGCGGGCGCGGAGTGGGGCGGGGGGAGGTGGAGAGGGGAGCTAGCCGAGGTGCTGCTGCGGACGGCCCACCGGAAGAATCTGTCCGTGGTGCTGACACGCCGCCCCGGTGGGGTCCTGGGGCGCTGTCTGTGGTGCTGATCCGAGGTCCCCATCCCAACACCCAGACCACGGCGGTGGCCATCGAGGCCCTCACCCGCTTCCGCGAAGCTGTCCCCTTAGAGGGTGTCCAGGATCTACACGTCCAGGTCAGCGCCCCGAAGAGAGAGTTGAACGTAGAGTGGCTCATCAATCCGAAAAACGCTTACCATCAGCGGTCAGCAAAGGTAAGGCACTGAGGAGCAGACGGAAAATCTACAAAGAGGTGACATTGGGGATGAGGCCAAGAGTCCTGCTAATCTCCTTCTCCAAGATTATCTCACACTAGTGGCTATACTTTCAATGTATTGATTCATTAGTTTCACAAACATTTCCTGAGCACCTACTGTGTGCCAATCATTCTCCTGGGTATTGGGGACACATTATGAAAGGTCTGTGTCTCCTGCCCTCATGGAGCTTACAATCTAGAAAGAAAGTAAAACAATACATGGGGATGTAAAGTAAAACATAGAGAATCTAGTCAATAACATAATAACTATGTATAGTGCCAGGTGAGTACTAGACTAGTCAGAGGGGTCGTTTTGTAAATTATATAAATGTCTAACAACTCTGCTGTACATGTGAAACTAATATGAAATAATATTGAATGTCAACTGTAATTGAAACTTTTTAAAAGGGGAAAACATGAAGGAATATAAGAGGTTCAAATTTTCAGGTACAAAACAAGTCATGGGGATGTAATGTACAGCATAAGGAATATAGTCAATAATGTAGCGATAGCATTGAACGGCGTCAGGTGGTTGCTGGACTTATCATAGTAATCACCTTTTTAGGTATTTAAATGTCGAATAACTATGAGGTACGCCTGAAACTAATGTAATATTGTATGTTAGATTTATTTTAATAAAAATCTTTTAAATTTTTTAAAAGAAAGTAAGACAACAAATACATTCTATATTAGGCTTTCTGAACACGGGGGAAAGAAATAAGTGAATAAAGAGGAAAATAACCTGGGTATGGAGAGTAAGGTAATCTCCATGACCTTACTCCACAGGGGAGGTAATCTTTACCTCCAATCACTCGATGCATCTTTATTGAGCACTTACTGTGTGCCAGGCACTGTCCTAGGTGCTGAGACTATGGCCATGAACAAGAGAGAAAAAAATCCCCTGTCCTTGTAGAATTTTATATTTTGGCGAGAAGACAGACAGTAAAGAGATGCAAATGAGTAGAACATGTAGTGTGTTAAGTGGTGGCAAGTGCTATGGGAAAAAAAATTAAGCAGGAAGGAGAGTGGGAACATCGAAGAGTTGCAATTTTAGATAGGATGGACAGGGAAAGTCTCACCAAGAATATGACATTTGAGCAAAGACGTTAATGAAAGAAAAGAGCGAGGCTTGTGGGTATCTAGGCAGAGGAAGCAGCAGGTGCAAATGCCCTGAGGCAGGAGTGTTCCAAGTATAGCAATGAGGGTTAAGCAAGGGTGATGTGATTGAATGTGAATTTGTAAAATTTGGCTCTGGCTCATGAAGGAACAATACAAGAGGGGAATGAGGGTAGATATAGAGATGCCCAGGGGAAGGGTCTTGTGGGGGCTCCAAGCACAGGGAACTTTGGAAACACTGCAGAGTGGACAGATTGGAGAGATGTATAGCCTGAGTCAGCAGCTGTAGTTGATTTGTGATAGAGCAGACACTGCACATATTCTATCAAGAAAAAAAGTAAAACCATATTGCCTCCCCACCCACTTGCACTTGAGCATGTTTTGGTGCTTCCTCCGCCTTCAAATTCTCCTTTCCCTTACCTTTAGTTTTCTGCTCAAGACGACCTAGAGATCAAAGCCAGTGGCAGTGGAAGAGGCACCATCTCGGTAGGTTGGGTGTCCCATCCTTGAGATCCTTAGCTGGATCCCAGGGTCCCCATAGAGGCAAGTCTAGACTCCAAGACAAGATTGAAATCAGCAAAACATTTAGTTTCCATTTAGGGCACTACTATATGTTATGAATCAAACTAAAGACACTTTTAAAAAAAAAAAAACCCTGGGAAATTGGTAAAAATATGGACCCCATGCAACAGGTGGAAAAATAGAGATGCAGAAAGGTTTTCACTTGATGAGTCAAGAGACAGAGAAGGTAGAAGCCAGAGGTTATTGGATCCCTCTGCCCCTCCCATGCCCAGTCCCTGAAGGGTGTCTCCTTCCTTGTCTCCCCAAAGGAATATTCTCCCTCCAGGGTGCCTTCCAATCCCCAGAGGCTAATTCCAATCTTCCCCCAATATCTGAACCAGCGGCTCCATTACATCTTCCAGCCCCATGCCCTGTGGCCCAGGAGAACAGCCCTCTTCTTCACCGAATGTAAAGCATCCTGTTCTCATGGTTCCAGCAATGGAGTCATGGTTGAATTCCCGCCATTGTTTTGTGACCTTGGACATATCACAGTCCTCCTTGAGCCTCGGTTAAATTTAAATTTATTGAAACTAAATAAAATTTAAAATTCAGTTCCTCAGTGGCACTAGCCACATTTCTAATGCTCAATAGCCACATGTGGCTAGTGGCTACTGCATGGTCAGAGGAGATCGAGACCATTGCTATCATTGTAGAAGGTTTATTACATAGAGCTAGTCTAGACTTTATAGGGTTTTCTGGCTACTGCACTCAAGGATTGAGGGGAGCAGACTTTGCTGTGAATTCCCCACAGAGGCAGAAACTTGGACAGGCAAGGACTGGACCAAGGAGTAAAGGTAGCCATTCTGCTGGCTACCCTGCCCTCTCTGACACTTTCCCTGCCTTGGCAGATCCTGACCATATACCACAGGCCCACAGAGTCCTGGGAGGGCATCTGCAACATGTATCACCTGAATGCTACTCTCCACAGTGCCCCGGAAGGTGAGCTTGAACCCAGAAATGCCCAATCCTTTTTTATTCTTTTGTTTTAGCTATGGTTCAATAAGCACATTTATTGCTTTAGTCAGCCATTCAACAAATATTTATTGAGCATGTACTATGTGTCATGCCCTGTTTCCTGGCCCTGAGAACATAGACATAAACAAGAAAAATATCCCCTCTTCTACTAGAGCTCACATTCTAGTAGAGAGAGACAAGTCATAAGCAATAATACAATAATAATATATTACACCTTACTGTTATTTATTTATTTATAACACAAATGAATCTACATTATAAAAAATAAATATGTAGCATAATAGCAGATGATGATAAGCACCATACAAAATAAAGTAGGAAAAAATTAATACAGACTTGGAGGAGGTCTAGGGGAAGTTCTCTGAGGAGGTGGCATTTAGGCTGAAATATGAAAAAAGTGAGAAAGTGAGCTATGAAGGATCTGAGGGAAAAGCATTCCAGGCAGGTAGAACAGCAGGTACAAAGGCCCTGAGGCAAGAATGAGCTCACCTGGAACAGCAAGGAGATCAGTTTGGCCACAGAGAAACAAGGGTAGAGTTGTAGGATAAAGAGTTGAGAGGAGATGGAAGCAGACGGTGCAGCGACTTGAGGGCCATAGTGAGGACCTCAGTTTTGCTCGGAGTGAAATGGGAGCCACAGAGAGTTCTGAGCAAAGGAGGGATGTGACCTAGCACGGGTTCGCACAGGCTTTCTCTGATGGGCGTAAGGGAAACAGACTGTAGAGGGCAAGGGCAGGAGCAGGGAGACCAAGGAGGAGGCAACTGCACTGGTCCAACAGGAGATGATGGAGGCTGGACCAGAATGAAGGCTAGACATGGTGAGAAATAGAATTCTAGAGTTCGCGGTCTGGGGGACCAAGAAGGAGGAGAGAGGATAATGCCATTAGGAGCTCCCTGTGGGGGGAAGGGAAACAAGCCTCACCAGTCCCAGGACCTTTAGGAACTACAAGTTACCAAGGCTTTGGTTCTGGCCCCATTTCTTAATGGATGATGATGATGATGATGATGATGATGATGATGATGATAGTAACTGACAGGCATAAAGCACTGATCAGGTGCTATGTTAAGTGCTTACCTTGTATTAACTCACTTACTCATTACAACAATCCTGCTGGGTTGAGAATATTATGATCCCTATTTACATATTAGGCAACCAAAGCACAGAGAGATTAAGCAACTTGCCCAAAGTCACACAGCACAGTCAAGATTTGAACCCAGGAAACTAGCTCCAGAGGCTATATTACCAAGCCTCTAAACTCCTGCCTTCTCTCTGCAGACAATAAAAAGGGGGAAGAGACCTTCCAACTCCGGATGGAAACAAGGTCAGGATACCAGGATTTGGGGCTGGGCAGAAGGAAGGCCTCACTTCCTGCTATCCAAACTCCTTAGCAGCTCTGCCTGTGCACTGAATGAAGGGTCAGAACCAGCTCAGCCTTCCTCTCTATGCCTGGCCCCTCATCCTACCTCCCATTCTACCCTCTCCTGCCTGTCCCCCATTCTGCTGGCTACCCTGCCCTCTCATGCTTGTCTACCATTCTGACCCCATCCTGCTATGTCCCATGATGACGGGCCCTACCATGACAAACAGGTACCCAGACTGGCTCCAAGCCCTGTGGCTCTCCCCCATCCTCGTAATCTCCAGACACCGCAGCCCCTAATCCAGTCCTGTTCTGTCTCTCAATGCCATCTCCCAGATTGGCTCCAGATAAAAACATGTATTAAGTGCCTGCTGGGTGTCAGGCTCTGTTCTAGGAGCTGGTGGCACAGCTGTGAGCAAGGCAGCCCCTTCCTACCTGATAGAGTTCACAGCTTATCGGGGAAGACAGACAATAACCAAATAATCACCCAGAATCAATGTAAAGTGACAACTGTAATTAAATGTGGCAAGAGAGAGGTCCGTGAGGCTACAGGAGGGCAAATTAGAGAATGACATGGTGTGTGGACCGGAAATGGCTTACCAGAGGGAGTGATGCATCGGCTGAGATTAAAGGATGTTTTGGGGTAAAAAGGGAGGAGTATTCCAGGCTGAGAGAAGAGCATGTGCAAAGGTCCCGTGGCAGGAAAGAGACTGATACTTAAGAGCACTCAAATGGAGGCTGATGTGGGAAGAGGTCGAGTGGAAGGGTGAGAGACAAGGCATTTGGAAAATGCCAGGAGGTGACCTATCAGATTCCTATTTGTTAAAGCTGTATTCTGTTGGGGGCAGAGGAGTGATGGGAGACCCAGGAGGAGGCTACCGCACTCCTCCAGGCAAAAAGTGATTGCAGCGGGAGCGTGGGGGGAGAGGCATGGGAGAGAGACTGGAGCTGTGAGATTCCCAGATTCCAGGGTGACCGAGACGCCACAATGACCATCATGGAGATTTCCCTGCTCACTGGCTTCTACCCTAACCAGGATGACCTCAAACAGGTAAAGTAGGACCCACCTGCCCGCTGCTGAACAAGGTGAGGTGCCCTGGCAACATTCCATACTCCCAGTTTGGGCACAAGCATCTACCCTTTGTCAGTGCCCGATGGTCAGTAGCCATGGTCACTTCTGGTCATCTCCCTGCTGGACCTTAGCCAAATCCTTGCCCTGATTGTGCCTCAGTTTCCCCAACACTGGACAAGGGCTGGGAGTTCTGAGAGTTACTTCACACTGGTTGGATCTCCTAGAGTTGTGGGCCTTGGGGGGGGTCTCTGCTGACCCGCAGCCCTCACCCTGTGCCGCAGCTCACAAGCGAGGTGGAGATGTACGCTTTTCAATACGAGACCAAGACGAGTTCCAGTGACAGCACTGTGGTCCTCTACCTGGAGAAGGTCAGGAAGGCCGAGTGTCCACTAGAAGCCTGTGGGTTGCACAGTGGGCAGAGAACCCAGTGGCCCTGATCAACTCAGACAGGACTCTCTCTCTCTCAGCTCTCCCACAAGGAAGACACGGTACTGGGCTTCCGGGTCCACAAGATGCTGCAGGCGGAGTTCCTGCAGGCCGCCCAGGTCACGATATATGACTACTATGAGCCTTGTGAGCAGGGGCCCTTGAGGGTGGAAGGGTAACACGCGAGGGGAAGAGATCTGCTAAGGACAGGGCCAGGAGGGCGAGGCAGGGAAGGAGAAATAGGGCGTGGCTGAGAGGGGGCTGGGAGTGGGGGAGCAAGAGGGTGCTGGAAAAAACCTAAAGGGGTGTGGTAACAGGGGGCGTGGACCTTCTGGGTAGGCAAAGTGGTGGGGATGGGCCTGGAAAAGGTTGGGCGGAGCTGAGAAAGGGTGTGGGCAAGAAGGGGCGTGGTCTTCGAAGGGGAGGGGCCTATTAAGAGTGTCTGGGCAGGGCCAGGTGGGCAGGATCTGTGGGGCGTGGCCTGTGGGGGCCCAAAGTGCTGAGGACCGAGCCTGGGGGCACCCGGCCCCCAAGAACGCTGTCCCAAGCCAAACCCAGGCACACGCCTCCTCTCGCAGCCCGGAGGTGCAGCTCCTTCTACAACCTGCCCGCAGAGCGATCTGACCTGCGGAAGATCTGCCACAAAGACGTCTGCAGATGTGCGGAGGGTGAGGTCACCGGCACACGAGGGCTGGGGCTGCCAGGCTGGAGGTCCAGGAGCCATATGACCCCTCCTGAGTGCCGTCTGGGCTGCGTGTAGGCAGAAAGAGAAACAGCGAGATAGGAAGATAGAGACAAAAAGAAACAGAGGAAAGGAGACCCACAGACAGGGACTGACACACGTACATCAGGCGCTGCCAAAAACCGCTTCTCCCAAGTTCATGCTGGCATCCCTCTCTAGAGAGGGACTCCAGCCCCAGGGATCTGGGGCTGGGTGGGGGTCCGACAGGAGGAAGCCCCCTCCCCCAGTGCAGCCAGAGCAGCTGCCGCCCTCACCCTCCAGAATTGTGCCCCACCCCGAAGAAGGGCAGCAACCAGCTGAAGCAGGAGGAGCTCCAGGCCGTAGCCTGCGAGTCGGGCATGGACTTCGGTGAGTGTCGGTGTGGCGGGAGGCAGAAGGGAGGCCGCCGGCAGGCCAGGCGCCAATAGAGAGCCCTCTGGCCTCCCCTTTCCCAGTGTACAAGGCCAGGCTGGAGACCGTGGAAGCCTCTGCTTCCAGCCCCTACATCTACTACCACATGCAGCTCCAAGTCGTCATCAAGAGCGGTATGTCCCAGGCGGCAGAGGAGGCGCTGGGGGCCCTCCGCTGGGGGGCCCAACGTGGGAGAAGACCAGGCCTGTGTATGCTCATACTCTGGGCCTCCTCTCCTCCAGGCACCGACTCTGTCACGCCGCTCACCATGAAGAAATTCGTCTCTCACGCCACCTGCCATAACTCCCTGGACCTGCAAGAGCAGGAGACGTACCTCATCATGGGCCAGATATCGGACCTGTGGAAAGTCCAATCTGAGTGCGTGGGAGCCTCCTGCTGTCCCTGGGGACTCGGGCCTGGGCCCCCTTGCCTACCCCAGCCCAGTCCTTAGTGTCAAAATCTCTACTGCATCTGTCAGCGAGATTCTTGGGTTTCAAGGCTGCTCTGTATGGAGATGCAGGCTACGGCTCTGCGCCACTTCAGGGATCATATTCACGTGGACATTGTAGATGTAGATCCGGTTCTCCAACATAGGGCAGTAAAGAGTCCGAGGAAGGCGAGCCTTTTATAGTTCCCAGATGGGACCCAAAATGGCTCTTTGGAGTGGACACTATAGGCTGAGGCTCTGTAGAGGCTGCCAAGCAGGACAGAGGGCCAGGGCAGGGGGTCCCCACGCCTCTGGGGAGCAGGCTCTCCTCACCCTCCTCGCCATCTTTTCCCCACAGGTACACCTATGTCTTGGGCAAGGAGACGTTCCTCATGCATTGGCCGGCGGATGGGGACATGGGAAAGAAGGAATTGCGAGGCCAGCTGGAGGGATTTTCAGAATACCTGAGCACCCATGGCTGCAAGTCCTGAGACCCTGAGACCTCTGTCATTCTTGGGGTTATTTCCAAGCAGTCCCCGGCCACTGGGCTTATCCCCAAACGAAGAGCATGGAACGTCACAGCCGGGCTGTGGATGTTTGTTCCTGTTCCAGCGTTCGCCCGGGCTCTGCACAGCCTGCCCCCGCATTGCCTGCACTTGCCGCCTCCCTCTCTTCCTCCTCCATTCCAGTCACACTGGCCTCCTTTGTGTCCTTTTGACACCCAGGTTGACTCCCACCTCAGGGCCTTTTCCCTCACTGTGCCCTCTACCAGGTATGCCCTTCCTCCAGGCATCGGCATGGCTTGAACCCTCTTCTTATTCGGAGGAGGTGTTTAAATGTCACCTCCTCAAAAATACTTGCTTTAATAACATACCTAAAATAGGCCCTCTCCTGTCAGTCTCTCTCCCTTTACTCTGCTTTATTCCTTCAATAACACTTACACATATATTGCATACGCTATCTATTGGTTTGATTGATTAATCAAACATTTTCCCTGCCCCATGATGTCAGCTCCTTAAGACCAATGCCATGTCTGTCTTGCTCACTGCGGTATTCCCAGTTCCTACAGCAGGGACTAGTATACAGTAGGTGCTCAAAAAATAATTGTGAATAAATAAATTGATGAATGAATTTGGTACCCACCCTGCACCTGGCCCTGATGGAAGCTTTGACAGGGAAGGCAAGACAAGGGGCAGGGGAGAATGAATGAGTTTTATCAACGTGGGCTGGGGTAGGTGTGGGGGACCTGCCGAGCCAAGGCAGCAGCCCGTGTGGGTCCAGGGACACCCCCTCCCAGGAACACCAGAGGGACTGCAAGGCATCCAGATGGCTTGAAATTGAGGTGTGAAGAAGGGACTGGAGGTGAGAGGGAGGAAGGAAAAGATGGAGCTGGGAAGGCTGCCAGGTGGACTGACTTCATAAAGGTGGGCTCTGAATACCAGGCTTGTTCATTATCAAAGGCAATGGGAAGCCATGGAAGGTGTTTGAGCAGGAGAGGAACTGACCAGCCCTGAGGTGGAAGGCCTGGCTGGGTGATGAGCAGAAGCTGGGTTGATGGCAGGAGACCAGAGGAGAAGGCTGGATACCCTGCGGGGCCACAGGATAGCATGGCAGAAGTTGCCTGAGTTCAAATTCTGCCTCCACCTCTTCCTGGCTGTATGACTTTAGCCTGGCTACTCACCTCTCTGTACTTTGGTTTCCTCATCTCTAACACAACTTCCCTCAGAGAGTTGTGAGTGACCAGCACATAGTGAGGGTCCAATAAATATTCACTAGCCTTAGTAGTAATGAGCCAGACAAAAGGCCATGGGGAAGGAGTGGAATTGCTAGAATGCATACAACAGTCTGAGAAGAAAATCAGGTCACAGCAGCCCCTGCTCAAAACCCTCCCAGGCTCCCATTGCTCTGACTACAGCACTCAAAGCCCTGCACTGTGGCCCCATCACCTCCCTGGCCCCATGTCCCCTCACTCTCCACTCCAGCCACAACGGCCTCCTCCACGGTCCCCAGAAACTCCAAGCTCTTCCTTGCCTCTGGTCCTTTGCACACCTATTCTTTCTGCCCGGAACACTTTCCCCATGACTGCTTTCTCCTCGTCCTTCAAATCTCTGCTCAGAAAGGCCTCCTTCAGCCATCCTGGCTAGATGAACTTGGACCCTTCCTCGGAAGTTATTTCTCCCTGCAACCTGCTTGTTTCCTTCAGAGTAAATGCCACAGTGCATACTGATATGCTAGATCCTTGACATACACCTTTGCTGTCGGTCTCCCCCGCTGGACCGGGAGCCCCGGGAGAGCAAGGAGGCTGTCTGCCTTAGTCACAGACATAATCGCAGCAGCTCACTCAGGGCCTGGCACATAGTAAGTGCTCCTTTTGCTGAATGAATGACTCGATAAATAAAAGAATGACAGAGAGAGAAGGAAGGGAGACGGGATTTGAAAAAGGAGAGGTAAATAAAAGGAAAGAGAGGGATAGAGGGAAGAAGGAAGGAAGGAAGGAAAGAGGGAGGAAGGGAGCAAGGGAGGGAGCAGGGGAGGGAGGGAGACTCATAACCTGTTTTCGTACAGCCCTCAAGCTAAGAATGTTTATACATTTTTTTAAAGATTAAAAAAAAAAAAAGAATGTGCAGCAAAGACTGTATGTGACCTGAAAAGCCTAAAATATTTATTATCTGGCCCTTTAGGGATAAAATGTGCCTATCTCTTAGTTAATGCATTAGTTTATATTGCTATAAAACAAATTACCCTAAAACTTAGAGGCTTAAAGTAATAAATATTTATTATCGTTCACAGTTTCTGTGGGTTAGGAATCCACAGGGAGCAGCTTTGCTGCACAGTTTGGGCTCAGGGGCCTTTCATAAGGTGACAATCAAGACGTCAGCTGGAACTGCTGTCATCTGAAGACTTGACTAGGGCTGAAGGAAGAACCACTTCCGAGGTGGCTCACTCACATGGCTGGCAAGTTGGTGGTGGTTGTCAGGGGGAGGACTCAGTTCCTGTCCATGCGAATCTCTGCACAGTGCCACTTGAATGTCCTTGTAACATGGCAGCTGGCTTTTCCCAGAGCAAGTGATCCGAGAGAACGAGCAAGAAGGAAGCCAAAGTGTCTTTGACAACCTAGCATCAGAAATCACCCACCATTTCCACAGCACTCTGTTGGTCACGCAAGCCAGCACTGTCCACTGTGGGCAAAGACTTCACGGGCATGACTATCAGGAAGCTATCTTGGAGGCTGCCAATCACGGATAGTAAGTGACAGCTTGGATTTGAACCCAAGCAATCTGGCTCCAGAGTCCATGCACTCACCACCCTATACAGATGTCCCTCAATGGCAAAGGGTGGGTACACCTTTTAAATACTTTATTTTCATATAAGTTTTAGATTTACCGAAAAAATTGAGACGATAGTATAGAGTTCTCATATACCCCTGCAAATTTTCCCTATTGTTAACATCTTACATTAGTATAATACATTTGTTATAATTAGTAAGCCAATATTGATACATTATTATTACCTGAAGTCCACAGTTTTGATTTCTTTAGTTTTCACCTAATGTCCTTTTCCCAAGATTTCATCCAGAATACCATATTACATTTAGTTGTCCTGTCTCCTTAGGTTCCTCTTGGCTGTGACAATTTCTCAGACTTCTCTTTGTTTTTGATGTCCTTGACAGTTTTGAGAAACGCTGTTCAGGAATATCGTAGGATGACCCTTTACTGGGATTTATCTGACCTCTTTTCATGATTAGACTTATAAGGTTATGAGTTTGGGGGAGGAATATCACAGAAGTAAAGTGTCATTTTCATCATATCATACCCAGGTTGTATACGATCAACATGATTTATGACAACCGATGTTGACCTTGGTCAGCTGACTGAAGTAGTGTTTGTCGGGTTTCTCTGCTGAGAAGTTACTAGTCCCGCTCCCTTTTCTATAACGTGCTCTTTAGAAAAGAGTTTCTCAGTGCAGTCCATTTTAAGGGTGGGGAGCTATGTTCCTCTTCCTTCAGGGTGGACTATCAATTATTTAAAATTCTCCTGCATGAGAGATTAGTCTCTTCTCCCCTATTTATTAATTAATTTAATTCTTTATTTATATCAGTAAGGATGCATGGACACTTACTTAATACTTTGGGTTATAACACAATAATTTTTGTTGCTGAAATCATTCCAATTTGGGCACTGAGAACTCTTTCAGCTGGCTCCTACTGAGTAAATTTAAACTTTCGCATATATTCCTAAATTAGATTCTAATACTTTTGGCAGTTCATATTTCTATCCACCATAGATTGAAGTTTTTAATAAGGTGAAATTCACATAAAACAATTAACCATTTTAAAGGGTACAATTCAGTGGCACTTAGTATATTTACAATATTGTGCAATTACCACCTCTCTTTGGTTTAAAAACCTTTTTATCACCCCAGAAAAACACACTGTACCTATTAAGTAATCACTCCCCACTTACCCCTACCTCTCATCTCCTTGTGACCACTAATCTGCTTCCTGTCTCTATAGATTTGCCTATTCTAGATATATCATATAAAAGGAATGATGTATTATGTGACCTTTTATGTCTGGCTTCTTTCACTTTGTATAATATATTTAAGATTTATCAAAGTTATAGCTTGTGTCAGTTCCTTATTCCTTTAAATGGCTGAATATTATTCCATTGTATTTATATACCACATTTTGTTTATCCCTTCATCTGTCGATAGACATATGAGTCTTCCACATTTTGGCTATTGTAAATAATGCTGCTGTGAAAAGTGGTGTACACAGGATGGGCTAAATAATAGAATGGAGGTAGTAGAGGAAAGAGTCAATGAACTTGAAGATAGAGCAATAGAAATTACCCAATCTCAACAACAGAGCTGTGGGACTAAAAGGTCCAATATTCTTATCATCAGAGAGTCCCAGAAAGACAGGAGAAAAAGATGTAATGCAGAAAAAAAAATTTGAAGAAATAATGGCTGAAAACTCCCCCAAATGGCAAAAGACACAAGCCTACAGATTCCAGAAGCTCAGCAAACCCCAAGCAGAATAAACTTGAAGAAATCCACGCCCAGACACATCGTAATCAAACTGCTGAAAACTAAAGACAGAAAAACTCCAGAAAGCAGCCAGAGAGGGTAACCCATTGTGTACAGAGAAACAACTGTTTCGATGACTGCAGATTTCTCATCAGAAAACATGAGGATGGAGGCAGTGGAACAATATTTTTCCAGTGCTTAAAGAAAAGAACTGTCAACCTGAAATTCTATATGCCGTGAAAATGTCCTTCAGAAATGAAGGTGAAAGAAGGACATTCTCAAACAAAGAATAACTAAGACAACTGGTTGCCAGCAAATCTGATCTAAAAAATGGTTAAAGGAAGTTCTTCGAACAGAAGGAAAATAATACCTCCGCTCCCCCCAAAAAAGGTTAAAACTTTAGGAACAAAGACCTACAGAAATGGTCAATCTCCAGGTAAATATAATAGACTATTTCTCTCCT